CACTAAACACTAAAGTAAGGTTGACTGGATCACACAGGAGTCAATTTCACAAGTACAAAACAATAGAATACAAAAGCCTAATGGATATTGCATTTACAGTATCTTATTTTATTTTCATTATTGTACATCCCTCATTAACTAAGTCAAGTGAAAAATGATGGAGAATTATAGAAACACAAAACTCAACACTATCTTATTTTATTAGGTGACACAATTATGAGACTATATTACTAAAGACAGATTGAGTAAACTGTGAGACTTAGAGATAACACCAAGCCCATGTGACTATTATCTTGGTGGTAGAGCTTTCCTACACAACATGAACCAGATCTATAATCTATAGACTGTTAATTTGAGGACTACAAACTATTAATTCTGTTATGAAACCACAAATGCTTAGGGGACATGTTTGGACATAAATGCAGTTTAAAGTTACCCTATCAAGCATATCAGTCTAAGCAGTTATCTATTAACAATTTTCATGTAAGAACCTGTAGTCCTCTCTGGTGCCTGCTGTAGTGTTAACTGCTGCTCTATTACTTTTTCAACACTGGGTGGCAGTGTAACACATTCTTTTGGATCAGGAAAAGCTATTCTTTGACAAATAGAAATCAGGTTTTGTAATTACTGGTAGGTTGTTTTAGAACCCAAAAGGTTAAACATAGTTCAAGATGTTCAACAATAAAAAAATTAAAATATTCATAAAATAATAACGTTTCAGTAAATGTTAGATTGGCATGGCTTATCAAAAAAAAAAAGAATTCAACTGTTACGCCATTGTTTAATGCAGAGCTTACTATATGTCAGGCATCCCCAAACTCGGTCCTCAAGGGCCCTGTCCTGCAGGTTTTAGAGGTTTCTCTGCTTCAGCACAGCTGGTTATAATGATTGCAGTAGACCAAAAGCCTGTTAATCAGCTTTCAATTAAAAGCAGCTGTGCTGGAGCAGAGAAACCTCTAAAACCTGCAGGACAGGGGGCCTTGAGGACCGAGTTTGGGGATGTGTTAATCGGTCTACAGCAGTAATTCATTAGCTGAAGTAGGTTTCAAAGAAAATTGATGTACCGGTATATTAAAAGATACAAATCACACATGTCAGAAATAAAAGGCCCACTAAAACAGGAAGGCAATGCTATATGTTGATGAGATTTCTCATGGTATTTTACGGAACTAAGTGACATTTTGACACAAAAAAGACAGCTTTAACAGGAAAATGATAAATGTCTGTGTGCTTCATTTTGACAGTGGAGTATGTATTTTTATAGCTCCCCATTAAAAAAGAACACAGTAGATAAGGGTTAGCTCCTCTGTAATAAACACAGGTAGATGAAAGGATTTGTCTTTTGCCACGAAAAAAACCCCCCTCTCTGTAAGAAATATTTTTGGACCAGTTTATGAAAGCATTGAAAGCTTGAATATAATAGAGGGAACAATTAATTCTGGTACAACTGATAGCTAGAGCAGGGAGTAAGCAGCTAGACCAACTGCCATAGGTACTCTGTATGAGGAAAAAGTCTATTAGGAAATATTTATTTTTTATTCAATATATTGGCTGATATTATTCTATTATGTTTTATTATTTTATGGACAACAAGCTTGAGCTTGAAAAAAAAATGCTGTATTAAATAAAAATAGCAAACTTGTTGAGCCATGCATTTGTTTAAAATGTTGTCAACCATTCTGCAGCATATTCTGTGACCTTACTGTTCAAAAGGGAAAACTGAATTGATTGAAAATCTTGAACCAAGTAGGTTTTTTTAATGTAACTATATCAAGTGGAGCACCTTCAGCACCTCTTATAGGGCTTTACTTGTGAAAGTGACTCTCTTGCACTTCTCCTTAGTGCTAAGAAAACTGTTTTAAGACTTGTACTAATTATTTAGTAATGACTTCTTACCACAAGCAAAATAAATCTGTTACTACTGGGTAATATGCAAGTTGTGTCTTTTGCAAAAAAACTAACATTATATCCTAAAGCTTATAGCAAAGGCCATTTAAAGTTTCAATGGAGCAAGAATTACCTTTACTGTAGCTGTTGGGATCAGGTTCTTAATGCCTAACATTGACTGATAAGACAACACGAACAGCTCTAATCAGTAATAAAGCAGGCTAGAACATGAAAATGTTAGATAACGTTTGCTATTGCAGAACCTTGCTGAGTTTCAGACAGATTTGCTCGTTAGAATTCCCCTGGAGCTAACATTGGATAATTACACAGTTTAAAAGGAAAACAAAATTACAAACCCGATCTTTACATAGACAAATGAGTGTTTTTTGTTTGGAACCCTCATGTTCTCACCCTAAAAGTAATTACTGCAGCCTTTCTTGGATAGTAAGATACATTAAACAATTATGAAACCTGTCTGTCAACACCATACAAATCTATAAATCCAACCAATATTATTTTTGAGACGTATTTTGAACTATGTATTTTGATGCTATCAGAAAACAAACATGTTGTGTGTATATGCATGTTTGCACAGTCATTACTGGACTCTAACCCTCCACGTTGGAAGCTGGCATCATCAGAAGGAAGTGAGTGTGCTAAGGAAGAGAAATGAGAGAAACTGCTATACTTTTGCATTTTATGAAAGCATGTGGATTTTGTTTTTTTTTAAGCATTAAAACAGCAAATAATGCATGTAAAATAAATGGTTTGCACATATATTTACCAACATACTTCATGTAAAAAGGAACCATCTTATCTTAATTTCTCCGATAGATTGTTGATCTAGTGTATCTCTTTGATTTTTAGGGATAACATACTGGAGTTTTTCATGGCAAGCATCAGCAAGAACAATAGGGTGCCTGTGGAGAAACCAGAAGGCGAAACTGTGACACAAGCTAAGACATGTTGAAGCATGGGGTATAAAGTCAAAATACTTGTTGCCTCTTTGGAAAAACACGGCACAAGTCTTATTGGTAGATAATCCTTGAGCTGTGATTTAGGAGACAGCAAATTTACTCTCATTGTAATCTCTAAAATAATCATAAATTTACTATACACAATCTGAGAAAGTTAATACTTTTTAATGTTTTTTTAAATTTTATTTTAGATAACTTAGTGAAATTACAAAAATGCTTACAGTTTCCTTTCACAACACGCAGTATAAACAGTACATATATACACATTTGGAGAAGTGCCGGGTTTTGCTTGTTGTAACTCAGCAATAAAAATAACTTATGGATATTTAGGCAGATTTCATTCACAGTACAGAACTGATGTTTTATGGTCTTCCTCTATATGGTGGTGGAACCCACTTTTCAAGATTTTGTTTGGTTATGTCGGCAGAGGCTTTAGGTGACTCAGTTGGCTTTGACAAATGACTGGTAGAGAGAAATGAGCTGGGACCGGAGGTCTTGGGCATAGGGGTCCAGTTTCTCCCTTAGGTCTTCAGCATAGGGAGCCACGATTTGCTTCACCAGACTGGCTCTCTGGCTCAGCTCTACCTGGACCTTCTCAGTCATGGGAGCTATGCTTTTCTGGAAGTCTTCCAGGTGTCGGTCAACCTTCCCCTTCAGGTCATCTGTGTAGGGCCCCAGCTGAGCTTGTAGGTCCTTCACACTCTGCTCCAGGCTGGTCTTCAGCTCTTCACTCTTTTGTTTCAGAGTTGACCTTAGCGCCTCTGAGTCCAAGGAGTCTGCATAAGGGGCCAACTCCTGCTTGAGCTGCTCAACCCTCTGCTGGATCTGGGCCTTCATTTTCTCAGTGTATGGCTCTAGTTTTTCTCTAACTGAGCTAAGCTCCTGGGTCAGAACACTTTTCAGCATATCAGCCTCATCTGTAATCTTGTTCATCAGGTCCTGAGCTGCAGGGGAAAGCTGCTTTTGCAGGGTCACAGCATACTCGTTGGCTCTGTCAGCACTCTCTGTCAAGCGGGAACTGGACAGCCAAAAACAAAGTGACTGTTAGAACATCTAATATTGTGAAACATGTCAAAAAATAAGACCCCGCCTCCCAGCACACACAAACCTTCCTCTCTGGGTCTGATCAAGAATCACGTAACTTACTTAATTTCCTGTCCAATGGGTGATTTCCTGATCATCTCTAAAGTATCATCAGCTGTCCGTGTGGCCTTGGCAATGTAGTCCCAGAAAGCATCAGTTAACACTTCTAGCTTTGGCTTTGGAGCATCGGCATAGAAGAGGTTGGCGTTGCATCCTTCAGAGTAAAGATATCAGTAAGGGTTACTTTAGTAAGCCTTTTTTTTATTTTCGCTTTTGAATATGCATTTAAACAAGAGCAACTTACCAGAGAGTACAACAGCAATTAGCAATACAAACACCTTCATGACTGCAACTTGCTAAAATACATTAATTTATGATTAAACACTCATAGGTGCTACATTTACATCAATAATTATAGACTTTTATTAAATACATAGTCTGAAGCACAGTGCTTGGCTCACCTGCTTTGGGGCTTGTGTATCGTTCAGAGTTTATCGTGTTAGTGACTGTGTCTCAGAGCTGCTTCCGTGTATATATACTGAAGTCAGATGACTGTTGTAGTCAAGAGCCCAAAGTCCAGGAGTCCCTTCCATGCTGTCACAATAGTTATTTTTTTCCTGTATCTGCTGAGATGTTTGAACTGAATAGTTGAATGCTGGAAAATATACAGAAAAATTTAAATTTCCTCTTTTAGACCTTTGCATATAGAAAGAATATAAAATTTACAACTTGAAGTGTGTCAACATAGTCAAGCACTATCAGTCACTAGAAAAGTCAAGATCACTTTCCAAACTATTGGACTTTGGGTCAAGAAACATAAATTAAGCAGCATCCAGAAGATACAGTACACTTGAACTAACTACTTCCACTAATAATAAATCTTTTTTCTAAATTGGATTTGTTTTTATAAAAATAAGCTTTTCCTTTATTTAGCATACAACTGTTTTTCTAATATAGGAGATGCACGTCAGACATTGCTATTCTGAATGGTTTTATTACTTGATTTTTAGAAGGGGACAATGATAAATACCAAGGACAGCATTTTCCTGAAAATCTAAGTTTTTCAGGTTTTAAAATGTATATTTCAATTCTATTAAATTTAGCATCTCCTTATAATGCCAACCATTTAAATACCACGCAGACTGTTATTGTAATTTTTTTTTTTACGCAGAGGATAATTAAGTTCAGTGTATTTAGTATTACAGTAGCTCATTTGTCCCCATTTTTTGTTTTGTTTGTTTGTTTTTTACGAAGCTGAGTAAGATTGATTGTAGAGTATATGTGAACAGTTTAAAGTATTGACAGAAATTGTCGATCAGTTTAAGGTCTGGAGTCTGTCTTTAACATTCTAATACAACCGTTCCATTGTAGCTGTGAGAATCTGCTTAGGTCATTGTCCTGTTATGTCTCATTTTTTTGCAGACTCTAACAGCTTTAACTCCAGGATCGCTCTGTATTTAACTATATTTAAAAAAATACCCTAACTATATTTTAAATACAGTTAGAGCAAGTTAGCGCAGATCTCCAAACTGTGTGAATTATCTGGAGTAAATGTTGAAGTTGCTGATGATCCACCAATAACCTCCTGAAAATAAGCTTGACAGGGTCTGCCTGCTGTTTGGAGTGTACTGTTGTTCTACCTGCTGACTTTCAGTCTCCTCCAGCAATCTGCTGAGCTGCCCCTGTGGCTGCGTCTCAGTTTACCTGTGTCACCACCTATAACACATCACTCCCACACGGACACCACTCAACCGTCCTACTGGAGATATATGTAGATATAATTTCACTGAGCATCCATTTGCACCTTCATCTGTACTCAATCAATACTCCTAAGCCTATGAAGTCCATCTTGTCCTCTTCTCTTCTCGTTGTTGATGCCCGCTTATTGATGATGAACCGGCTGTCAGCCACAGAGTGCTAGCTACCCTCGCTAGGATGGCTAATACTCCAACCAGGTCCGATTCCACCTCCCTCAACTACAGTCTTTTAATCCACTCTCTGACGAGCAAAGGTGATCTCATTCAGGTTCTCCTCACTGTCTGCAAGTATGACCTTTTCTGTTTAACTGAAACTTTGCAACATCCAAACAATTTCTAAGAACTAAACATGGCCTCCTGGGTTTGTTTACATCCCTCAACCTCACAGTTCCGGACGTGAACGGGGCGGTGGTCTTGCCATAATCCTTGGGGAGAACTGGAAAGTTGCATCCTTTCCTCAAGATTCAAGATTCAAGAGACTTTATTGTCATTCACATCACGTGTTACATGAGGTAGAACGAAATTGAGAGTCATGGCCCCAGTTACATCCAAATATAAAAAATAAAATAAAAACTAGCTACAAGATCAAATTGTGCTAGCTACAAGATCAAATTATATAAATAGAAAAAATATTTACAGGTATATAAAAACAAGAAGTAGAAAAATAAAATGTTCCCACATTCAAAAGTTTTGAATCTACTGTCTGTAAACTCCGTCTTCTGAAGGCAAAAGGCTGTCAATTAGAATGCATATATAAGAAAACTGGACTCATTGTACATAAAGAAAAGTATTTTGATCATGTTTTGTATTATAGGGACTGTATTTTACAAGTCAAGAAGGACTTTTACTCCACTAATTATAATGATTCTGAGTCTCTCTTCTCTTTATTTAATACAATTTTAAGGCCCCCCGATTCCTTCCTAGCACATTTCTGCTCTACCTCCCTATACAATTCTGTGATGGCCTTTTTCAGTTCACAAATCCAATCTATTTACCAGTGCCTGCCCTCTAAATCTCCTCATTCATTTTCTACTGATCTTCCAGTGGCAAATCATCCTTTCTTCATTTTTGAACTTCCTACCTAAATCATATCAGGACTCATAAACAAATCCAAATCCTCCTTTTTTCAACTTGACCTCTCCCCATTCCTCAGCTCAAAGCATGCCTTCCATCCCTCCTCCCCATCATCACTACAAACATTCACAGTTTTCTATGACCACTGGAATTGTCCCAACACCCTTCAAAACCACTATAATAACACCAATTCTAAAAAAATAAACCCTCGTTCAAATCCCAATAGTTTTGTTGAATCTATACCACATTAATCTATCCATGGGGGATAGATTAACGGATTGCATAACTGATAGCAGATTATCTTATGCTTTGAATCTCTGTAGCGTCTCCAGAGTTATCACAGGCCTGAACTGTTTCTCTATTAATGTTCATCATTTACAGCCTTTAAGTTTAGGTGAATAACCATATTTTGGTAAGTTTGAAGGTGTCAAACTCTTTCCATCTTTGGGAGTTTAGTTAAAAACTGATTTCAGATCTATAAGTCTGGTGTGGAGAGTGTGATTTCCACTGCAATCATTGATTGATGCATCAGCATCAGCCAGGGATTTAAAATATCAACAAATTGATAGACAAGGGTGGCTATTTTCTCTGTGTGAAAGAGATTCTTCATTAAAAAACACAACAGAAAACACTGAGCATTCTCAGAATACAGCAACAGTGTTTTATTCCAACTTCTTCGGTTTCATGAGACCATGACAGGAGATTCTTCCTGTTCATAGCCATCAGTTTTTACAACAACTCTTTAACAAATTGTGAATATGATTTGTCCTGAAGCATATCAATAATATAGCTAGAAAATCCAAAAGAGTTGAGAACGTCTCTTGGGAAGGTTCGTCTTTCCTTAGAAGAACAGGAGAGAAGTCATAAACTCCTCAGACCGATGAACCAACTCATGAAGAAGAGAAATAACTACTTTTTATTTTACTTTAGGGTTAATGAAGAACTTTCAAACTGAATTGTACTGAAATGAAGTTGAATACAAAATAGAAGGATAATGCATTCCTTCACACCTTTATCTGACCTGTCTGCTTTATCTCTGCTGACATATGTTCTTTAATAAATCTAAAACCTTTCTGAGGGGAGCTTAATAAGTAATGATATTAGATTACACTCAGGACGATTCTAAATTGGCTCTGAGGATAATTGGTTTACCAGGATTTTAAAGAGGACTAGATGAAAGGGAGGTGAATGTATTTTTTTTATGGTGCGTTACAACTAAACGTGAACTCGGCAGGGCGGTGATCGGATGTTGCCAACCTCGTCAAAATCTTGCCGTTTGTTTCCCTAAAATCACCATCGTCGCCTTACTCAGTTTTGCTCCGCTTTGCTTTGCTCCAGATCTGCCCCTCTACATACAGATAACATTCTGTTGTATTTCGCTCCAGCTTCAAAATACACCTTCGGTGTGACAGTACCATTAAACATAAAAAAATGTGTGTTTAACAGTACAGTTGAAATTAAAGTCCTACTTTGTCTGTTTGCATAAAAGTATAATTTACACTGATATGTCTTGTTGCAACTTGAAAAACTATTAAAAAAAGTTAAGCGGTGCCTTTAATTTAGCATTTTTCGGCACTGCATGTAGAAATCTGTCCATCTGTGGGAGAGAAAATGGCCATAAATGAAGAAACAATTGTGTTCGTGAGAACTGATCTATGACACATCTGAATGAAGCAGAAGCTACTTTGTCCCTCAGAGGCTGACGGTGCCTGAATGCACTAACCTTTGGACGGACAGATATGTACAATTACTGAACATTGGCATGACACAGAAACAAGGAATATTTATTACCCTGAAAGTTGCAGACACATGATAAGATAAAAAAACACCATTGTATTTACAATTTAAGTTTGAATTCAATAATAGTAAAGAGATTTATTTTGTCTGTGGCAAAGAATTGAGTGTTATCATTTGAGCATAAGGTCAGCTAGTGTTAACAGTGTTGATTAAGTGTTTAGTCATACAATACAAATATATTTAGTTAATAGCATCAGTGGTTTTACATTTAAAAAGTATATTTTTTATTTCTCATTCTATTTTTCTTTTTGAACTTGTTACTGATATGTAAAAACAGCCGATTGGATTGTATTTCTGTAGCTGCAGGGTTCTCCAAAATGCTTGTTGTATAGATTGTCTGGACAAAATGTCAGCAGAAGGGTGAGGCAAGGTGACAGCAAAGCACTACCTCTTGGACTTTGGGATCATTAGTGTCCGGCTTCACTATAAAAGCTACGGAGCATTAACAGTTCAGCACAAGCACAACCAAGTGGACTTACAGACAATCTTGTAAACTCAGGTAAGAGGAGGACACAGATGGCTCTTCTTTTCAACTTACTAAATAAAAAAGTTTTGGTGACTTGATGTTCTGTGATTGTTGCAGGTTCTAAGAGCCATGAAGGTCCTTGCAGTGCTCGTCCTTGCTGTTTTCACCGGTAAGTAATTTGGACACATATATTGAAGCTAAATTGAATATTTACTTTTCAAATTTACAATCGCAAGCTTCAAAATACTGACATAGATTCATTTTACTCTCCTCTCCACCCTATAGGCTGCAATGCCAACCTCTTCTATGCTGATGCTCCCAAGCCACAGCTGGAGGTAATGACTGATGCTTTCTGGGACTATGTTGGAAAGGCCACTCAGACAGCTGATGACACCCTCCAGATGATCAGGAAATCCCAGTTGGGCCAGGATATCAGGTAAGTCCTACAACATACATTTGAAATGGATTTTTTTCAGTTACCGGTATATGCAGAAATTAGAATATAAACTCACTATCTTGCCTCTTCTATTACTTTGCTCAGCACCCGTCTCACAGAGAGCGCTGAATCAGCCAGCCAGTATGCAGTGTCCCTGCAGGAGCAGCTCCCAACTGGAGCCCAGGAAATGATTAACAGAGTTACCACAGAGGCTGAAGTGTTGAGAGAGCGCTTGAACAACGACCTGAACAATGCCCGAGAGAAGCTGGAGCCCTACACTGAGACCCTGAAGGCCCAGATCCAACAGAGAGTGGATCAGCTCAAGCAAGAGCTGGCCCCCTTCACTGACAGTTTGGACACTGACACCCTGAGGACCACTGTGATCCAGAAAAGTGAGGAGCTGAAGGCTCAGCTGGAGCAGAGTGTCCAGGACCTGCAGACTCAGCTGGGTCCCTACACCGATGACCTTAAGCAGAAGGTGGACCAGCACATGGAGGAATTCAAACAGAAAGTCACTCCCCTGACTGGCAGAGTCCAGGATGAGCTCACACTGAGAGCCCAGCAAGTAAAGGAGATCGCCACCCCATACGTGGACAACCTGAGGGAGAGGCTGGACCCCTATGCCCAGGATCTCCAGTCTCGTCTCACATCCCTCTATGAATCCTACATCAAAACCAACTAAGTCAAACTCCAACTGACTCTGAACACAAAGAAACAGCATCAATTTAAACAGATTATTTTTCTCCCTGATTCCATAAATATGACAGTGCAACAACTTTAGTTAACCTGTCTGGAAAAAGGGCAGTTGTTATTCCACATATTAACGATGTGAAGAAAGGTAATATATAACAAATGTTTGTTGGTCTGTGACCACATGGTGTCTGCTCCCTAATTTATGAAAATAAAAAACAAAAGCAAAATAACCTTGTAAGCCTTGTGTATTTTCTCACTTGGAATTGGTTAAGGATTAAAAGTTGTTTGACATATACATTTATTTGTAAAAGATACACAAAATAAATATGCTAAATTATATGTAATCTGTAGTAATTATGAGCATTATTAAAACACATAAATATAAGCAAGCAAAGGTGCAATCAATATAAGTTGTCACCTTTTTTTACAAAGAATTTATAATCCACAAAAAGCATGCATAGCGTCTAAAGTTAAACATCTAAAGCTAAACATTTTGCATGTATGTTCGATATCTTTCTCAATCAGTACTGTAAGTCACTATCAGCTCTCTTCAAAGAAATATACAGAAAAAAAACTGAAATTTTTACTTATTTTTTACAGTGGTATCCAGCTTTATTAGATAAAAAAAAGCAGAAAATTGTGGCATGTCCCTTGAAAAAAATGCCCTGTAAAACATCTCTTGGTTGCGATAAAAGCTGGAAATCTTTTGGGCTGCTTTCCTTCAAGGCTTAGCTCACTAAGATAGTATTATAACCAATGTTCTTTTGAAATTAGCCCAAGCTATGTCAGGTTAGATTACATATGGGTTTAAAGTGTTACCATAAATTAATACTTGGATTCATGCCTGGATTTTGACTGAGATGTTTCGATGCATACGTAGGCTTTCATTTAGACAATTCCACTGGGCACTTGCAGTTTGTCTGATTTGTTGTCCTGCTTGATAGGGAATTTCTCCCCCAATCTCCAGTCTTGTGCCTCCTCAAGCTTTTATTCCGGGATCTTTTTTTTAATCAAATCTGTCCTTGCAGAAGAAAAGCTGGAATGCTCAGGTCTGTTTGTATTTGACAAATAAACCTACTTCAAAACATTTCAATTGTCCCATTTATGAGTTGCAGCAAACTGTTGGACTTATTGCAGACCTTCCTCAATAAAGGCTAGACTTATGCCTTAAATTACTACTGTATAGTTGTCCTATCAATCTTAGCTGTTGATCTATGTTCATAAAAAGTTTCCAGAGGCCACTTGACACCTAGTTCTGCAAAGAATTGTAGTAGAAAAGAATCCAGGTTTATTCTAGGCTATCTTAGTAATTTCAGCATATTGGCTGAGATTTCAATGCATCTTTTTTTTCCAATCCAACTTTTTTCTGTCTCAGAATCTATAGTTAAGGGATGGTAAGAGCTATCTTTTAAAAATTACTGCACTGTCTATTGGCTCTGAAGATAAAACAAAAATGCTTAACAGTTTAGAGTGTTTTGTCAGGTCAAAAACTGCTTTGTTGACAAAGAAAAACCTGTCCAAATTATATAATTACAAATTACAAAGCTTCTTTTTGAATAAATCCATCCATTGTATATTAATATGATATATATATGTGTGTGTGTGTTTTTTTCTATTGTTTTCAAAGTCTATCAAGGAAAAAAAACCCTTCAAATAATGATATTAATGTTTACGAAAAAAGAAACAAGTAACACAGATTTTGATGTCCTACTTACAAAGCTCCCCCCACATCCCACCTCCACACCCTCGTACGATTCTGTTGTGGGTACTGAAGAGGGCATGTTGAAATTTGTTTTTACCTGCAAGTCTGGATTTTCGTAAACATACCCTGATCCTTCCTTGTTTTTTTGCTCTAAATCCCTTTTCTTTTCGTGCCTGTAAACCTTCAGCAGGATTACTCCCACGCTGACTAACCCAGTGGCAAACAGCATTCCTCTGTCCTGCCCCCAGCTGTCCCAGAACCTGAACCGCTTTAACCCTCTACACAAAAACAGCACATGAATAAGCCCTAGTTCCTATATACTTTTTCAGAGCTTTCCTCACAGAAATTTCTTTATCCTAATTATTTAATCTTGTTCTGACGCACATGGATACTACTTGGTTACTCATTGGAACTAAGTAAACCTATTCTGCAGGGCAAGAATTTGGGTACATTTTTTATTAAAAGATCAGGTCCAAAATAAAGCTATAAATAATTTTATAGCTTAAAATGGTAACAGTACAAGGAGCCTGATAATTGATTACTGCCAGTTTGAAGAGTTTAACAACAAACTGATTTGATTGTATCCCTTCTCCTGGATGGAATACAAATAATAACAATAATAAAACCATAAATGATCCATACTAATGAAGTCAGTGAGTTGTCTTAATGACTTTAGTGCAACCTAAAGAACAAGTATGTTAAAAAAAAAAACTGACAATGCACTCAAACCTGAACACACCAACTCTATAGCGCAATGTTTCTTAGCTTTAGTCCTTAAGGCCCACAGCAAGTTTTAAATCACTCTGCTATAACTTAGCGGTTGAACCACAATGCTATGTGGGGGAGCTATTCTTATGTAAGCAGAGACAAGAACTCTGTTCAGACTTAACAGGAAGAAGGATGTAGCTAAATTCAGAGCAATCCTAGAAGAAAAAAAGCAGCCAAAAGATAAATGTATGTTGTTGTTACAATGACCCAATCAAATTCCAGATTTAACAATGAGATTATACAAAGTATGAATTAGGGAGAATGAATGCAAATGCACACCACAATTAAGTTCAGTGTTCCTAGAAAACTATTAAGAATTACATTTTTCCTTGCCTTCATATTTATGCCGGGTCTGTTTTGGTCCACAAAAAAACAAACAGAAAAACTGAATTGAATTTTAAGTTTTTTGCCATTTGATCAAATCTAAAAAGGTTTAGGAGGTTTGAATCCTGAACGTGTTGCAAACAAAACTAAATAATCCGCATTTCCTAAAACACATGAAGCTTCATTTTCTTGCTTTTAGTGCTTCTTTGTTGATAAGGTGGCACAGCCAATGGTGATTGATTCCATTTTTTTAAATTCCTATACTTTTTAGAAAATAATTCATGCTAAAAGGGCAAGAAGACAGATAAAAGATTGCTTTATTTTTGTTTGTTTATTTTTTGAAGAATGTTTTACCTAAGCCTTAACTTGTACCCCTAAACAACTTGTATTAAATGCTCAAATAAATGCAGCTGTTTATAAATGATGTCATGTTTATGTTAACATATAGCTCTATGCAATAACTGTGCTGAACAACATTATGTACTCAGTTCTTAAGGTTTGTTTTCATCTTGCTCTGTCTGTCTGACTCAGAATCATGGGGTAAGATGATGTTTTGAAAGATTTAACAAAGTAAGCATAATAAAGGATGTGACATTCTGTACCACTTTCTATGTTGAAATAAAAAAAAAAAAGGAAATCTAAATCAAAGTGAAAATGTGCTTCTCATATAACCTCTAGTAACCTTATTGACACATCCAAACAAGCTCCTGATGGTTTAGTGAGTAAAGTCCTATCAAAAGCCACATTTTTTGGGTTACTTTTGTTCAGTGATTTGCACGCTGACCTTTGGCATCAGAAATGTTGTGTTTTGTCAAGCTAAGAAACTGCAGATTGGCTGACTCTGTAAACCTTTCACTGTATTACCTCATATGTTTGTCTCTTTCACTTCCCTGTCTGTCTTCTGCCTTTTGTCCTGAAGGCTCCCTAACACAAAGTGTATCCAAAAAGGCTGTGTGGCTACAGGTTTCTTTCCAACCAAGTAATAGCAAACCAGACTCCAATCATCTCATCAAGTCATCATGTTCAGATTTGACTCACATTTCTGGAACCAGTTTGACACCTCTGGCCTAAAAGAATGACTTCTAAATGATGGGCTTATCTAGACTCTGACTAAATTGTGTGTTGTCTGCTGGAAGCAGCATATTCCATCTACACAATACAGGAAAAAGCTACCTTTGTAAATCAGTGGAGCTTGTGTCTTAATGTGTTATGCCAGATTTTCATTGTTAGAACCTTTTTCAGAAACAATTGTTTATTGAGAAATTATAACACCGGAGAAAGGCACCAGCACCCCTTGCGATAAGCGAGGTGGAAAATGAATGGATGGATATTATAACACCACAGTATCTTTGTTGCATTTAACAGGGTAAAATTGTTGTAGAAATGTACCCTATATAAAAGCCCAGATAGGGATACACCACTGTTTCTGTTACATCTTGAAGAATTTTTTGGAGAATTTTGGAGAAGTTATTGTATTTTTTTCTATAGTGAGTCACTGTTACATGATACTGTAACATCTATCCTTCAATTGTCAATTTCCCCTTTTTTCTAACAGGGTTACTTAAGGTTCTTGAACCTATCTCTCGTAATCATTGGATGAGAATAGATGTGTGATACACCCTGAGAAAGATCTCTGGTCTATCACATTGTAGCATAAAACGTGACATTTTATCAAAAAAGAACTTTTAAAATTCCAACCAAGGCACACCAAGGTGCTGAACTGTATCATAAAACATCTGACTACATAAATAAATAAAAAGGAGTAAAGCCGAGTGTACACTGTGTGATTTTCAGGGCGATTTTCCAGTTGTGCGAGAACTTTTCAATCGGGCCGACTTTCAGCCTGATCGTGCATCGTGTAGTGTACAGGAGGTAAAGAGGGGCGATCAGCCTCTCACGACCACCTCCCGATCAGGAATCATGTTTGACTTTCTCCCGGCCATCGTGGGCAAATCGCTTAATGGGTATGCGCAAACAAGGATTCTTCTTTTTCTTCTTCCTCTCAGATGTAAACACAGGTGCACGGCGGGGATGCAATGAGTGAAATGGAGTTTCTGTAAAGTTGACAAACCGTAGTAGCCACGTTTGTTCAGCCATGTCTTTGTCCACATACGTCGTCGCCTTTCCTTTTTAGGGCTTTTAGCACAAAATTGCACAAATTGCCAAGGCAGCACGTTTCACTCTAGTGAGATTAATATTTCTCTTCTATTTGTTTGGCTTCCGGATAGACGAGTCAGAGCAGCTCCATCTCACTGCGGAGCTGAGTCCGATGTGGTTTTTAGACGTGCAGTGTTAGCAGGTAGATCGCATCAGAGCGTCGTGCTGCACATACATTGTGAGCTGTGAACTCACACTGTAAGACTAAACCCTGTGATTTAATTGTACAGTGTGAGCTGCAGCTGCGAGCAACGATTCAAAAAAATCACACAGC